ATTTTTCAACAAACAAAAGCTTTGTTTCACATTGGCTTCTAATTAAAAAAGTTTCTTACCATGATTGGCTTGCCCTGAAATGTTTTCACTTCTTCTCTTAAATATCTAAAAGCCTGATAACAAAGGAGAAAGGAACTTTTATTCAAACATTTCAATAAAACCATCTTTAACCACAATAGAGTATGGTATTAACATTTGCCTCTAACCTAAACAAAAAAAAAGTTATAAAGGTGATTCAAATTATGCAGGTGATAGGAGCAAAAAAAGTAAAAATATAAGACTTTCTCATCAACAATTCATATTTATTCTAGATTAGCTACCACGGATTACTGCAGACATTAAATGCACAAGATTCAAGAGACCCTGAAATGATTCAATCAGATAACTTTCTAAGAAAAAAAATGGTTTTAAAAAATGCTATACAGATATAGCTATTTCTGTTTCAAAAGAATACTGTTTCTCTTATCTTTAAGTAGGACATAACAATTAAGAGTAAAACCAATAAGTCAAAATTCCAAGGTAAAAGCCAGAAGGGAAGTTGTATTTATTATGTGCCTATTAGAAAAAAAAAACCCACCTCACTGCCACTGAGTAGATTCCAATTCACAGCAACCCCCTTTGGGCTTCAGAGGGGGTAAATCTTTATGAAGTGGATTGCCCAGTCTTCATTCCATGGAGTGGCTGATGGATTTGAACCGCCAACCTTCTGGTTAGCAGTCAAATGCCTTAGGCATTAAGCCACCAGAGCGCCTTATATGTACTAAAATACTATTGAGCACATGGTTCTCAATCTCTATGCTTATTCTGAAATTATGTTTATCGACAGCAGCAAACTGTTCTTAAATTGAGATTAAAAAAGCTTTAGGGATATGAGCAAGAGAGAAACTAAAGAAAAGCACAATGGGGACTCAGGTACTCAACATTCTTTACAAGCATTACCATAAGCACATACTTTCTCAATTAAAATCTGTTACTTTCATCACAAGGACTACACCAGGAGAAAAGTTTATCTTTTTTCTCACCTGCTGCGCATCTGTGTCTGACTGAAAAGTGACATACCAGTTGCTATTGTGTGCAAACTCACAGCTTATCACTTTAGGGCAGTTTTCATTTTTGAACAAAGCTTTCACTTCCTAAAAAAACAAAAACTTTAGTTAACTTTTAAGAAGACATCAGTAGCTGGCATTTTTGTTGTTTTTACTAGAAAAACTGAACATCTCTTCAAGTCTACTGGTCCCTTCTATTTCTTCACTTGTTAACTGTTTATAGCTTCTCCTCATTTTTCTAGTGAGGGTAGTTTATGTTCTGAAATAAAAACATGCAGAGTTATACTGTAAATTCTGTAAATGATTTAGGGATGGATCCTTATTTTATGATTAGCAGAAGTGAATGATTTTCTTCTTAGGGGCAAGCTAAATTTTCCTTATAGTAAAATTTCTCCAGTCCTTTCCTTGCTGTTGTTCAAAATAAATGATACGTTCTTTATTCAATTTTCTGGGTCCTAAGTATTTTCACGCATTCTCACTTAATCTAAATGCTTTGCCCACATCAGTCATAGACATGAACTTTGTGAAACATGTCTTCTCCTTTCCATAACTGATATAAAAATCTAAACACAACTACACAGCTGGTTTATAAAAAGCAAATGAAAGTAATCATTATGAATTAAGAACGCCTAAAAAGTTATAGAAAGAAAAGAAACATAACACTGAAGTATCATCAAGGGTCAGACACTGTGATTTACTTGTGTTGAAGGTTTTATTACCATCTCCATTTCAGAGCTGAAGAAATGGTGACCCAAATTATCACAAAGTGGAACTCAAACTCAGATTTGTATAGCTCCAAAGCCCATTTTGCCTAAAATCTATCTGAGTACAGAGAGAAATTTAATGATAACCATTAATTCCCAATAGTAAAAGAATTTAACTAGGTTAAAACATCCTCATAAAATATCACTATGTAGCATTTGGAAAAAAAAAAAGAGAAAGACAACATTACTAAGCTGATTAGAAAAATGTCAACAGTAAAGTCTAACTTGTATTTGAACTCTTTCAAAATTTTTGTGCAATAAATTAAAAATGAATGTTCATACCCGTGGTGAAATTTGCTTGAGTCAAATACTGCCTGAAATAAGTAAGTGGGCAGCCAGCTGAGCTTAGTAACTTTTGTGAGCGCAGTAAAATATTACCAAATTCAGTTAAGAATTTCCATCTAGCCCAGAATTACACTTTTGAAGAGCACTATGTGTCAAACTATTAGGGTGCCACCCATTGAGTTCTACCTTCAAAAGTCCACAGATATCTCCAAATGTTTCTAAACTGACCTTTCAAATGTAAAACAAATTGATTAACTTATTTACATCTTACTAAAATCTGTATTTTCAGCTTCTATCATTCTACAGGAAGAATGAAGTTTCACAGATTCACTGTCTCAAAAATAAGAAGTCTGAATTCAGAGTAATCAAAAATATATTCCACCTGCCAATAACTTTAAAGGCCCCAATCCTAATCCCCTCATTTTAATTTGCGTTTTATGGATTACTTAGGCACAGGCTGACTTTCACTATTTCAGTCATCTGCATTTCTTTTTGTAAAATAGTACATGATGACCTTATTTACTCTTTCCCACATGTATTAACTCTTTTACGCATTCAAAATATAAATTATAGTAACAATAATGGTTAACCTCAATGTTTTACATGCCAAGTACTGCTCTAAGCACTTTATGTATATATTAACTCATTTCACTCTCACAACCACCCTAGGCAGAGTTACTTATTATGATTATCTCATTTAACAGATGAAGAAACTAAGGCAAAGAGAGGTTAAGTAATTTATCCATGGTCAAAGAGCTAACAAGTAAAAAAAATTCAAACCTAGGCTGTGTGGCTCCAGAGTTCAGGTACACAGCATCCACATTGTTTCTAAATATTTTAACTGGCTCCCACTCTGCAGTTTCCATTCAATTTGTTATTTTTTCAATGACATATAGTTCATAATTTTAAATCAAAGGCCTAATTTTCTTTCTAATTTTTTTCCACTTATAAGTTTAGAAAATCTTCATTCTGGAGACATAATACCAAATGATTCTGGACAAAAAGGATTACCTATTAGGGGGTCAAATATATTTTGTTATTTGATAAGGGTCTAAAGCAATTCTTTTCTATATGGTTAATCAATTATCATAAACCAGTTCCTGATCAATCTTTTCCCTTGTCTAATTTATAGTGCCTTAACATTGTAACAACTTAATATGAAGCTCTGTTGGATAGTGGTTCAGAAACTTGAGCTTTGGAATTGGTGAAATCAAGTTCAAATTCTGTCTTTTAATAGCCCATCTGTCCTTGGGTAAGTTACTTAATCACCCTAAGTTTCACTCACTTTATCTGTAAAACAGGTAATAAAATTTTTAGATTTAAATGACAATAAAGTACACTGCCAGGTGCCCTAGTGGCACCACGGTTGAAGTGCTCAGATGCTAACAGACAATCAGTGATTTGAACCCACCAGCTGCTCCATGGGAGAAAGATGTGGCAGTCTGCTTCTGTAAAGATTACAGCTGTGGAAACCCTATGGGGTACTGCTACTGTCCCACAGGACTGCTTTAAACTACAATCAATTCACTGGCAACGGGTTTTTAACGGAAAAGTACAACGTACAGTACTTGACAGAACCCAACTACTAAATAAATGTTAACATGCACACATTATATAAAAGGATTGATTTCTTCATTGTTTCGTTCAAATATTATACTATTCTTGTACTTCCTTCAGTCATAATCTTTGTATCTGCCACTTTGTTTTTTATATTTTGCTAACCAATAGGGATAGTCTGGTGACACTGTGGTTAAAGCACTGGGCCACGAACCAAAAGGCTGGCAATTTGAATCAAACAGTGGCTCACTGGGAGAGAGATGAGTGCCTTTGGGCAGGAGGCTTGCTGGCAGAGTGGGGTGCCCGTAGGTGTCCCTAGGAGCAGATTTAAAAGAGCTTTGTAACACTTGCAGGGCAGAAGCCAAAGCCAAGAGGCCAAGGGCCAGGCAGGCGTGCCTGAGGGTTTAGCAGAGGGGAGAATGTCCTGATCAAAGACTTGTATTCTGAGAGCATTCCTGAACCTAAATTGTAACCTATTACACTTCCCTAATAAAGCCATAACCATGAGTACTGTCTGTGAGTTCTGCGTGGCCATCTGCAACAAATTATAGAACCCAGCAGAGAAGCAGTGAGTGCCATGGGAAGGATGGTTAGTGTCAGAGTTGGTAAAAAGGATGGAGGGTGGTAGCATGTCTGGCCTCATAGGAATAAACTTTGGGCTGCTGGTGGTGATTTTCTCTACCTCTTGTACAGTTGGAAGCAGTCAGAAGATGCCGTCCCCATGACCTTTTTGCACAGTGCAACACTCAAGACTAAGTATTCTAAAAACACAGAATTACATATTCATGCCCCCCACCCCATACTATGCTTCCAGTATTTCAAAATTTGAAAAACAAATATTTATCCTATTCATAATAATTGATATGAAGACCATGACTTATACTTTGCTTATCTGCTCCAATTTAAATAGTTAAGTAACATTCATTTAGCTTTAACAATGTTTAATGATTTACCTCTATTGGTGTTGTTTCAGGAATTTCTCTAAGAATAACAATGCAACGTTTATGACTTGGCCTCACTTTCTCACCCTTCTCATCAACTTGAACCATGGGGGAAGCTGAAGTCCAAAAAAGAAAATATTCCATTTAAAAGTGACAACTAGAGATATAAATAATGCTGCTAAAAAAGCTACTCATTTCAATTTCCAACTGTGAATAAGTCAGCAGAGACGACATTAATATCCTAAAGAAATAAAGCTGTAGAATCCAAGACTACAGTTAGGACAAATACTCTCTTTGAGATGTGTATGTAAAGAGTATCACCAAATGTTATTCATTAAACAAATATTCACAGCACCTATTTTGTGACTTGGCACTGTGCTGAGATCCAAAAGAAGCCTTCAGGGAATATACAACATTTATACCAAAAAAAGCAATTTAGTAGTAAACAATAACCAAATTATTAATTTTACAAATAACAGATGGGAATACTTACATTAGCCAAACACTATTTTGAAAGAAGCAATGAGCTCTGATATGGCTAAGAGATTCTTTTTAAAATTAAAATCCTAAAAAGCCCCTAAACCAAGAACTAAACAAATGACTATTAGTTGTCCTTGATTTTAACATATTTAGTCTTACATACTACTACAGAAACCCAAATGCCAATTTTTCAAAGCTGACTCTATGAAGATAGTATCACATAGCCAAAACTTTTATTTCTAGTCCCTTCAGAGTGGTGACATTTTAAAACCTATCTCCCTGCAGAACAATGTGTAACAAAACTCAAAATCATTTAAAAAAAAAAAAAGACCAGGTTTACTGATCTGATAAAGCCTAGTAAAACCCCCAAGACTATGGCCCCTAGTTACCCTTCAGGTCTGAAACCGAACTCACTCGTATGGCTTCCAGCCAAATAATACACAAGCATATGGGGTGAACACTTTACACCAGGTATACACTCCTTTGAGTGATCAACTGTGGAAGAACAGAGGGCATTGTTTGCATATGGAGACAGCTGGGTGAGGCAGGATGCATAGGAAAAAACGACACAGGGAAGAGGTAAACTACAGGGAGGATGTAGAAGAGAGCTGTTACATTGTGGGGAACTGCAATGTCATAAAACAAAAAAATGTGTGAACTGCTGCATAGAAAAAGAATTTCCTCTGTAAACTTTCACCCAAATGACAATAAAATTTTCTTTTAAAAAAAGAGAAACAACCAACCAAACATCTCTCTGTGCAGGTAAGTACGGATAATAAAAGCAGCAGTCAGAGTGAAAGGCTTGGGTGTAAGTGCTGGTTTCTAAACTAAGAAGATGGGGGATTCTGCCTGTTCGCCAGTTTTCAATGATGACAAGAAATGATTCTGTACAAACCAATTAGAGATTTCATAATGTTTCCAGTCCTCTAAGAATGGAAATACTCTATCTGTATATAGATTTTTGGACTTGCTATATTTAACTTGCACACATTTTCAGTAACACTCCGTATAAAAGTGAAGACTTGCCTTTATTCAGTAAAGCAGTAAACAAAACCCATAGAAGTTACCAAGAAATAATGAAAATAACACAAACATCACTAAATACATTTAGAACCTTAATCTAAAGTCTTTACCAATCTTTAAAGCAGTGTTTGTCAAAATGCATGGTGCAATTCATTATTAGGTTGTGAAATCATTTTAGAATAAAAGAAATAAATTCATTTTAAGCATTCAGTCTTAACGTTGTAAACATTTCAGTTTTTAGGTATGTGGTGTATAACTGGACTGTGATGTGTAATATAATTCTTACTAGATTCCAAAAGTTTGAATGACAAATAAGGCACATGACTTTCTAATAGCCCAGAAAACTGAGATTTAATTGATTATTTGCTAAGTGGGCATTAATATCAACAACCAACATGCCGAATTGATAGAGTAAGCTATATGTTTTCAATAAATAGATTCATTTAAACCACTTAGTACAAATAAAAATGATTCAAAAAGAATAGCAAAAAAAAAAAAAAAAGGGGGTCAGTTAAAAACAATTACCTATATGATCAGAAATATTTACCTTTTTCAAAATTTAAAAAGAGATAAAAGGTATTATTTACATACATCTTAACACTTCAAGAATTAGATCAGGGTCTGTGGTCAGTTTTTTTATTTCTTCCATATTGGCAACTGTCCAAATTGGGATGAACTGATCACTGTCCATTTGAGATATCAAGTAAAGATCCTTTGACAAATTTTCTCTAAAAGAAATAAGGTAGCAATAGTTATAAAATAAGCAATTCTTAGAAAGCAACTAAAGAAAGAGGTATCTGAGTGATAACTGTTGGTAAGTCTAGGGAAACAAAAGTATATCATTAGAAATAACAGTGAACTATACAGATTAGTTAAAAGGACACCAATGTAACATGCGACAGACACATTCTAAAAACTTTTGGAAAATTTCCGAATTCCCAAACTTATCTGGATCAACAGTTTCAGACAACAGATCTTACAGAAGTATATAAACATAGAGAGAAGTCTTAATATTAAATTTAAAAGCATGTTGCAAAGTTTTATATATAATGCACTTCCATTTTATAAACACTTTATCATTAATGTTAGAACATGCATATGGGAAAAACTAGTTTAAACTATGGACCAAATCATGGAAGATTTATAATTTCTGAATGTTTTGCATTTTTAATAAGCATACCTGACTTTTGTAATTTAAAACCTATACTTTAAAATGAAAAAGAATCTTTTAAGATAACCCCACAAAAAAAGAAAATACAAATGATTCTATCACATTCATATCCTATTATTCAGTTCAAATCTTTTATGAAGCTGTTTAAAAAGGTATGGTCCGTGAAGCATACCTTGACTACCATTTAGAACTCTAACTGTTCAGGGTCTCTTTCCTTCCCTTACTTACTCTGCTCTATTTCATTTATTCCATCGTACTTATCACTTAACACACTTGTAAACTGCTTATTTACTATGTTTATTGTTTTATCTCCCTCAACCAGAACAGAATATAGATTCAGAAAGGATCTTTGTTTTGTTCAATAATGTATTTCAAAGGCTTGTCAGTTGCTGTCAAGTCCATTCTGATTCACGGTGGCCCCACGTGTGGAGAGCAGAACTGCTCTGTAGGGTTTTCAAGACTGTGATCTTTCAAAAGACTGCAAGGCCTTACTTCTGAGGAGCCTCTGGGTAGGTCTGAACTGCCAGCCAACCTTTTGGTTTCTACTCCAGTGCTTAGCCATTTGTACCACCTTTGGGGACAACTTTCAAAGATCTGATGTCTTGCAAAGAGGAGGCTAACAAGTCTCTACATTTGATTTATATTAAAATAGAGTAGTAGTTACTTCTTTTGTTGTTGTTACTAATGTCAACAGGTGGCAGTTTTCTTTTTCTGGGGGTAGGGAAAGCAAATTGAGAGGATACCAGTCAAAGTTAAATTCACCAACATGAAAAGAGAAACATACTATTATCTACCCAATCAATAAGGTATTTATTCAGACCCTAATAATAAAACAACTGTCAACATAATCTTTCAACAAAAAGCTGTAGCCTAACTCAATTCTGACTTTCAGCTGTTGTTGATTAGGAGGCATTGATCAGCTCTGACTCGCAGTCAGAACAGAATGAAACACTGCCCAGTCCTGTGCCATCCTCAGTCTTTGTTATGCTTGAGCCCATCGCTGCAGCCACTGTGTCAATTCATCTTGTTGAGGGTCTTCTACTTTTTCGATGACCCTCTATTTACCAAGCATAATAATCCTTCTTTAGGACTGGTCCCTTCAGACAACATGATCAAAGCACGTGAAACAAAGTCTGGCCATTTTCACTTCTAAGAAGCATTCTGGCTGTACTTCTGCCAGGACAGATTTGTTGGTTCTAAGGCAGTCCACGTATTTTCAATATTCTTTACCAACACCACAATTCAAACGCATCGATTCTTGTGTCATCCTTATTTATTGACCACCTTTCATATGCATATGAGGCTAATGAAAATATCAGGGCTTGGATCGGGCGTATCTTAGTCTTCAAAATGACTTCTTTGCTCTTTTGCAGCAGATGTGGCCAGTGCAATACTTCGTCTTACTTCTTGCTACTGCTTCCAGGAACCATCATTGTGGACCCAAGTAAAATGAAATCCCTGAGAACTTCAATCTTTTCTCCATTTATCATGATGTTGCTTACTGGTCCAGTTGTGAAGTATTCTTTCTTTATGTTGAGGTTTAATCCATACTGAAGGCTGTAATCTTTGATCTTCATCAGTAAGTGCTTCAAGTTACCTTCACTTTCACCAAGCAAGGTCATTGTCATCTGCATATAATCAGGTTAATGAGTTTCCCTTCCATCCTTATGCCCCATTTTTCTTCCTAAACTCTAACTTCTGGAATTACTTGCTCAGTTCCCACAGACTGAGTATGGTGAAAGAAATCAACCCTGACACACACCTTTCCTGATTTTAAACCACGCAGTATCCCTTTGTTCTACCTGAAAGGCTGTCTCTTGGTCTATGTACAGGTTGCTCACGAGCACAATTAAGTGTTCTGGATTTCCTATTCTTCACAATGTTATTCATAATTTGTTATGACCCACACAGTTGAAAGCTTTTGTAAAGTCAATAAAATATTTTTATGGTATTCTCTGCTTTCAGCCAAGATCCATCTGACACCAGCAATGATATTCCTTATTCTGTGTCCTCTTCTGAATATGGCCTTTAGTAGGTGCTAAAACCCTTCTGTACCTTGTCAGAAGTAAATCATATTAATGAGTATAACATATAGTATTTAGCCTGATATATATTAATGGTAATTTTGTCAACCTACAAATGTCAACTGCCCAGCTAGTTTGAATTGTATCACCATTCTAAGAAGGCTCTGAGTAGGATGTGGCAGATCATGGTAAACCAGAACTTCCATTCAACAATTAAAAAAGCTTGTATCAACTACAAAAACTTTTGTTTTTGAAGAAATCAGAGAGTTATGGAAGCTCTGTGGACAAGATAATTGAAATTCCAGACAGATAAGCTTTCCTTCTTGGGGTACTGCAGATCCTGGTCCTATGGGACTCTACTGAGAGACAGAAAAATCTGCAGAACTTTAGGGAGTTGCACAGGACTGGCATCATGAATTGGAAACCAAAGGAGCTCCCAACACACAGTTGATTTTCCCCACAAGATGTTTTCTGAGGTCTAAAGAGGAAGATGGGAGACTGGGAACCAAGCTGAAAAGGTAGAGTGAAATCTCTCCATCTTATGATCAAGTCCCAGTGGAAGGAGGAGTCTTGGATCAAATATGAGACAAGTCTCTCCCACAAATTATCTGTCAGATTGTTAAGCTGTATGGGGTAAAAAGGTAAAGACTAATCTCAAACCTCTGAAAACATAACTCTCTTTTGGTGTTTCAGAACTGAGGTGACAGAAAATGAATTTGTTCTGTAAACTTTCACCCAAATCACAGTAAAATTAAAAACAAAAGAACTAAGGTGAGAGGATCCTGGATAGAGTGGGAGAACAATGTAGAACAAAACTCAAAATCATTAAAAAAAAAAAAAGACAAGGTTCGCTGGTCTGATAGAGCCTGGTAAGACCCCTGAGACTATGGCCTCTAGTTACACTTTAGGTCTGGAACTGAATTCACTCCTATGGCTTCCAACCAAACAGACAGGCACATAGGGTGAACATTTATATCAGGTAGATACACTCCTTAGAGAGATTAATCATGGGAGAACAGAACTGGCAGTGTGTGCACAGGGAAATAGTTCGGGGGCTGGGGAGGTAAGTCAGGAATGCACAGGAAGGAAGGACACAGGAAAGAGGTAAATACAGAAAGGAAGTGGGAAGAGAGCTGTTACACTGAGGGGAATTGCAATCAATGTCATGAAATAAAATATGTATGAGCTACTGTATGGAAATTTATTTGCAAACATTTACCCAAGTCACAATAAAATTTTTAAAAAATAAAATTAAAAAAAAATATGGGAAAAAAAACAAAACCCACAACTGAGGTGACAGAGAACTGCCAGGCTCTAAATCAAAAACCTGGAATGGCCATGTCTAAGCAAAAAATAAGAGATAAACTGAGACTAATTAAAATGGCTGCTCTGTCCTGATCCAGTTCAATTCCTGACTGAATTAAATAATAAATATTTCACTGTGTTATGGACTGAATTTTATTCTCAAAAAAGGTATATTGACGAATACTAAGCAACGCAACACTAAAGAATAACGTAGAATCTGCAAAACACCACATAACATAGATGAACCTGGAGGACATTGCTGTTGTTGCTGTGTGCCATCGAGTTGGCCTTGACTCACAGCAATCCCTCCTTGGGTTGCCGAGGCAGTATCATTACAGAAGTAGATTGCCCAGTCTTCCTTCTGAGGAGTGGCTGGTGGGTTTGAACCGCCAGTCTTCTGGTTAGCAGTCAAGTGCCTTAGGCACTATGTTACCAGAGCGCCTTAGAGGACATATGCTGAGTGAAATAAGTCAATCACAGAAGGACAAATATAGTATTAGCTCATTATTGTAAAAAGTCAAGGAAAGGTTTATATATGGAAGGAAACTTTCTTTGTTGGTTATCAGGGGTGGGAGGGAAGGGAAGGGAACCTGCCAAAAAAAAAAAAAAAAAACCAAAACATTGACCCATTTGTGTATTTCACTGTACATAAATGATATTTCAATAAAATGTATTTTTTTTAAAAAAAGCTATGTTGACATCCTAACCCCTGTAACCTGTGAATGTGAACCTATGTAGAAATAGGATCTTTGAAGATGTCATCAGTCAGGTTAACATGAAGTCACACTGGAGTAATGTTGGTCCTAATTCAATATGGTTAGTGTCCTTAAATAGAAAAGATAACACATAAACAGAAAAGACCACCATATAATGCTGCAAATGCAAGCCAAGGAATGCCTAGAGCTACCAAATGACAGCAGAGAGGAACAGACTAGATTTTCCTCTCAAGTCTCAGAAGGAGTCCACAGAGCTAACACTCTGATCTTTGCCTCCAGAACTTTAAGAGAGTAAGTTTCTGTTATCGTAAACCGTCCAGTTTGTAGTATTTTGCTACGGCAGCCTTAAAGAAAATAATACACACTCTATCTAACAGAAGAAAACACAAGCCCTCTCTAGAAGGAAAAATTATGCCATCTGAAACATCTATGTTCCTTTTTTATATAATGTCCAGCATACAATCAAAATTTTTAAAACATGTATAAAGGAAGTAAGTTTTGTGATGATTACAATTCTGTACCCTGGGTGGTACAAAAAGTTAGTGCACTAACTTAAAGACCAGCGGCTCATGTCCATCCTAGAGGTACCTCAGAGGAAGATCTGGCAATCTATGTCCAAAAAATCAGCCACTGAAAATCTCATGGAACACAGCTCTATTCTGACATATGAGTCAGAGTCAACTCGATAGCAACTGGTAGGAAGGCAGGGTCAGCTACAAATGTACCTAAATAATTCTTATCCATAAATAAGACATCTTAATTGAAACTTTTGTCTAAAAGGACCCTTTCATTAATAGAAGGGACTGGTAATAAAAATTCTATGCTCTATGATGAAAATCTGTAAGAGTCAACTATTTTTTTAAAAAAGTCAACTATTAATAGCAATAATAAAAACTATTAAAAGTGATAATTGAGACAATCACTTTTCTGAGAACCCTAAACCCAAATATAATGATAGGAAAAATATCCAACAGAAAATGCAATGGATTTTTACTGAGAATAGATTTTTTTGCATATTCAGTTGGAGACTATAACTCTAAATACATTATTTAAATAATAAATATATTGAAGAAATACCAAAATACATCACTAAAGGGAAATGATAATCACCCTTCTTCCAATCCATTTCATTGATATTTTACATCTACTGACCAAACAATTCAAAAAAGGAAAAAGATCAATAAAAAATTATGGTGTACCGTGAAAAACAGAATTCTAATTGTTTCTTCAGACATTCTTTTAGGTCTTCTGTAGGAATTGCTGAATTGTTTTCTCCTAACAGTAGAAAACGAGAAAATAGTTAATACCAGGTGACCATAGTGATGAGCCTTACAGATTGCTATGTTCAGAATACTAAAAGTACTTGGCTACCATGTTGTAAAACACTGCCCTAAAGTAACAGTAATTTAAATCTAAAGACAGGAGCTAGTTAAACCAAGAGAATAATATAAAACATATTACCTCCTTATTATTGGTAGTAAATCTGATGTTAGTCACACTCCTTAAACTTCTCATAATAAACAGTCTGCTATGCTCTTTATTATTTAAATATAGAATATGATTTTTTTTTTTTTTTTTTTAGGACTCAAGCCTAGAAAATTACCACTCTTGCAAAGAATTACACAAAATATTACAGACTAAAAGCATAAAATCTGTCCTCTTTTTAAAAGGTATTATAATGATATAGGCTAAATTTAACTATACGGACAATAGGAGCTCTGATAGCGTAGTGCTTAAGACACTTGACTGCTAACCAGAAGGCTAGCGGTTCAAACCCACCAGCGACTCCTCGGAAGGAAGGTTGGGCAATCTACTTCCGTAGTGATACTGCCTCGGAAACCCAAGGAGGGGTCACTACGAGTTGGGTCCGACTCAACAGTACATAACAACAACAACAACATATGGACAATAGGATGCATGCAAAACTAAAATTTGTACATGATTTTACCATTAACTTGTCTTATTACTCAAGAACCAAAGTGATAGTAAGATACTTCTTATTGTTGTTATGTGCCCTCGAGTCAGAGTTCCATTAAAAATAAGGAACATTCTATTTCTATGTATACTCAATCCTTCTAATACAAAACTCATCCACCAAGGTGTTAGTTCCATGAGCAATCAAATCATTTAACCTTTCAATGTCATTTACAGCAAACACATTAAAATAGTGTAGTGAATTACAAGGTGTATCTTTTCTAGCCATAGTCTTTGCAACTCAAACTGCATTATTGAGCGAGACCATGCAAGTATATGTCAACTAACTTGGCTGGGCAGCTATAATGAAACTGGCAATTAACTCTGTGGTGGAATTTGCTGTGAGCAACTGAGTAGCTGTTTTTTAACTATTGATTGTTAAAGTCATCCACCTGGGGTATTTCTGTTGGAACAGCACAAGGTAATCTTCTGGGAAAGTTCACTTTCTCTTAGGTGTGTAGAACTCTGATGTTGGGATTGCTTCCTTCTGCCACTCTGCCAGGCTTAAAATAAACCCTCCTAGAGGCAGAGGGAGAATCTCACTGTCAGCTGAGAGAGACTGCTGGCTGAGAGACAGAGGCCATGGAACCAGGAGGCACAAGACAGAGTGGCAGGTTTACCTGGCCGGCAGACACCAGGCCAAAAGGCCAAGGGCCAGAGAGGCATGTCTAAGGGTACAGCAGAGGGTAGATCATCCTGATCAAGGAACTGCATCCTGAGCATGTTCCTGAACTTGAATTGTAGCCTGTTGCTTCCCTAATAAACCCCATAATCTGTGAGTTCTGGGTAGCCACTGCAGCAAATTATCCAACCCAGCAAAGAGGTGGTGGGTGCCGCGAGAGGGATGGTTAGTGTCAAGGTTAGGAAGAGGGCTGGAGGGTGGTGGCATGACTGGCCTCACAGGAAGAGCCCTTGGGCTGCTGATGGTGATTCTGTCTTCCTCTTGTGTAGTGAGAGGAGGTCAAAATACTCCACCTCCCTGCCTCTTTAGCAAATACCAAGTCATTTCCACAACACTTAAATCAACTCTATTCAAAGTACCCAGCAGTTATTAAAGTCAACAGGTAGGGAGTAGAACTCACCACCCTAACTTATTGTATGCAATTTCCATCTTCCTTTTCTTCAGAATCAATTTACAAGCCAGTAGACTCAGAAATCTAGTCTAAACTTTTATAATGAATAAGGAAATAGAGGACACGGTTTATATCTCTTGAGAGAAGTCACAAAGCTACTTCCAAACAGATACGCAAACAACTATTCCCTAACACGCTATTTTTCAAAGAACCTTTTAGAAAACAGGTGAAAATAAAGTTAGGTAGTTAGGGTGTTTGAATCTTTTTCAGTGTCTTTTAAAGTTCATCCATTTTCAATTCAAGTGACTACCAATCATACTGATTAAATCCATGTGAGTAAAGTGTATCTCACAAATTGAAGTATAGTAGAACCCTTGCTTTTAATATAGCTTTCCTTTCAAAAATTAATACTTGTAATTTCATATAACAGCAAAATTAATAGACCTTGCATTGTTCTACCTAATAGACTAAGAAACTTAGATACAGAAAGATTGTAATTTAGGTCTTTTTTAATCATTATAACTGTTTTATTTTTTTCTTCCTGTTAATTTTTAATTTCATGCTTTCCTTTAATAACCAAACCAAAAAACCCACTGCCTTTGAGTTGATTCAGACTCACAAGGACTCCACAGAACAGAGAAGAACTGCCTCACGGAGTTTCCAAAGTTATACATCTTAACGGAAGCAGATTGCCTCATCTTACGCCCACAGAGCAGCTAGTAGGTTTGAACTGCTGACCTTTTGGTCAGTAGCTGAATGAATGCCTGAGCCACTATACCACCAGAGCTCCTATTTCCTTTAATAGGCTTCTTAAAGTAAACATTCTTCTTAAATTACAGATTTTATGTTTAGTATTTGAAAACAGTATTTATAATAATAATCACTTTTCATGAATAAGCTTCTTTTTAAATAAGTAAGCCAATTAAGAAATACCACAGAGTAAGTAAAGAAGTTGGTAGTTTGGATCAGTACAATGATAAGAGACTGAGGGCAAGAAGATAGCTACCACACTGAATTCTCATTTTACCAATAAAGCCATGAAGTTTACCAGAAACATCATATATTTGGTAATTCAGATCTTCTGGTCCTAAAATCATTCCATCAGTTGATTCTTCAATGCCTGCAGTACTTCTTGAGGTCTCACAAGATGAAGAATACATTACTTCATATTCCTTACACATATCATCTGAAAGCTCTGAATTGCCTATATTAAGAGAAAACATATCAAAAATAAATAGAAATTCTTTAAATCCTATGTTCAGAAACTACAGGCAGTATATCTTCCATAAAAAGATTTTAAGGAATTCTACCAGTTGGGAAAATGTCCACATGGTTTTAAAAGTTATATCCTAGAGGTAAGTTTTTACCATCACAGAGAAGCAAAAATGATTAATGTTGTTGTTGTTATGTGCCATCAAGTCAGACCCGACTCATAGCGACCCCTCCTTGGGTTTCCGAGGCTGTTGTGATAGTTGGAGCTGTGTGTCAACTTGGCTGGACCCCAGTTCTGTGTGGTTGTTCCCATGATGGGATTGGATGACTATGTTCTGAGTGGCCAATCTGCCCAAGAGGAGTTTCCCTACGGGTGCAGCCTGCTTCCAGGATATCTAGGGACATCCTGGGAAGAGAGACATTCTTTGAGGGATTGGAACCCTGGTGTGCTGACTACAACCTTCCATGAGTGAGCAGCCCAGCAGCCCACCTCTCGGCCTGGAGATCTTGGATTCGTCTTTCGTTGGAGTCAACAACCAGTGTACTGCCTGCCAGCCTTGAATTTCTCGGCCCCCTGCGCTTGCAGAAGCTAAGGCTGCCGCCAGCCCAACATTTCCTCCAGGGACTTTGGACTTGCCGGCTTCTATACATTTGTGAGCCATTCTCCTAAGATAATTTTTTTTTTTCTCTCTCTATATATGCTTTGCTGTTTTTTGTGTTTCTCTAGAGAACCCAATCTAGCACAGCAGTATCACTACGGAAGTAGATTGCCCCATCTTCCTTCCGAGGAGTGGCTGGTGGGTTTGAACCGCCAGCCTTCTGATTAGCAGTCAAGTGCCTTAAGCACTATGCTACCAGAGCTTCCCATGATTAATAATAGCTAACACTTATACAGCACTATGTATCAGAATGCTCCACACAGTATTCATTTAATTTCAGAAAACCCTTTGATGTAGGTTGGGTCATTATTATGATTTCTGTTTTATACAAGATAAAATAAGCACCAAGAATTTAAGTCATTCACCTCAAGTCAAACAGTGAGTAAACAGCAGAGTCAAGGATGGTAGACCAAAGCTCATCTAAAAAGACCATATACTAAATGGGTTTGATGCTGGACTCACATACAGCCAGTATATGAAATCAGTGACAATCCAATCATGTTGGATATAAATGAGAATTGTACATGAACTACATATGAACATTTATAAATGTATTTAAATAATAAAAGGATGTATTTCAAAGTTCTATCAATTAGTTTGGCCATACATTTAATACAAATGTGATTTATCCTGATGAAATATTTATGACTTACCCTCAGGATAAGATCCTGAGGTGGCTGCTGTTTCATGCCAAGAGCTTTCCGTTCCATGAGTTACTGGAGTGGCATCAGTATTTCCAGAGGGAATTTCTTGCCATACTTTAGCATTAGGATTTAAACCAGTTCCTTTAGATGTTACCTGCTAAATAATCAAAGGATTCATGCATCAAAAATACAAACTTACTTAAATACAACAAATGAAAATATTAATAATAAAACAATCAAATAAAAAATATTCAAGTAACTACCATATCAAGGCTACCTGGAATAGAAGGTGACACCTCTCATTTTCCCGTGAAGATTTCTAAAAAGCTTTTTTGATCAGTGTGAAAATACAAATCTTAAGTAGATGCACTTGAAATGAGTCTACATTTATAATTCAGCTACCTACATATTTTAAAAATATATCCCTTCAATAGGAGCTCTGGCAACATAGTGCCTAAGGCACTTGACTGTTAACCAGGAGGCTGGCGGTTCAAACCCACCAGCCACTCCTCGGAAGGAAGGTTGGGCAATCCTACTTCCGTAGTGATACTGCCTCGGAAACCCAAGGAGGGGTCGCTATGAGTCGGGGCCGACTCCACGGCACATAACAACAACAACAACAATATAAATTTTTTTATCACCATCTAAGCTAAGACAGAGACTGAATCTCTAAATGATTCTATCAGTGGAAATATTATCCCAGGCTTATATTAGAATGCTTTTTCCACTTGTTCTGAGAGTATGTATTCTTGATATCCACAATAAAAGGTTACTGCCTTTTAAAGTGATCTTTTGCATGCATTATCTAGTCATAGGCACATATCAAGGTGAAAAGGAGAAATGGAGCGTGGTGTGGGGAGAAAAGAATATTACAAAAGTAAAGACAGGAAGAAAGTGAAAGGAGGGGAAGATACAGAAATGCACTTCTCACCTCATCCAACCACACAACAGGGCTTCACTGGTTCTTCTCAAGTATATCAATGAAGCTTTGAAAACTTCACTCTCTCTCTAGAAACTTGACAATCTTCTCAGCCCCAGGCCCCTCCCCTGGCTAGCAGGCACCAGAAAGTAGATCCAAAAACCACTAAATTAATTAACTCAAGCTTATGACCTGTAGATACTGGGAACTAAGCTTTCATGAAAAAACAGCTGGCACTCACTGAGCCACTAATAAGAAGGCTGTCATAAATGCTCTACCTGGAGGAGGTTCTTAACACTGGCTCAGAAGGTTTAAAAACAAACAAATAATAATAATAATAATAAAAACCTTTAAGGTATTATCAATACCCAAATACAGTCAATTAAAGCAGGACTCAGGGAGCTCTGGTAGCATAGTGCCTAAGGCACTTGACTGCTAACCAGAAGGCTGGCAGTTCAAACCCACCAGCCACTCCTCGGAAGGAAGATGGGGCAATCTACTTCCGTAGTGATACTGGCTCAGAAACCCAAGGAGGGGTCACTATGAGTCGGATCCGACTCGATGGCACATAACAACAACAACAAAGCAAGACTCTAGGTGGAGAGAACTGCGGGGGCCCCAGAGAGTTGCTGACTAGACTCAGCTTCTGGGAGGCCCAACTGTACTTCCTACAATTCTATCTCATGAAGTTTCCCTGCACGATTCCATACTATTCAACTAACATGAGGTACAGGATACGTATGAACCAAGTAAACAATATTGTTTATTTACACCCTACTGCTTGCTCTGGTAGCACAGTGACTAAGGCACTTGACTGCTAACCAGAAGGCTGGCGGTTCAAACCCACCAGTCACTCCTCGGAAGGAAGATGAGGCAATCTACTTCCGTAGTGATACTGCCTTGGAAACCCAAGGAGGGGTTGCTATGATTCGGGTCCGACTTGATGGCATGTAACAACAACAACAAGCTTGCCATATACGAGACACTGGTGTTTCAGCGGTAGAATTCTCGCCTTCTATGCAGGAAACTCAGGTTCGATAGCTGGCTGATGCACCTCATGTAGTCAGTCACCACCCGTCTATCAGTGGAGATTTGTATGTTGCTGTGATGCTGAACAGGTTTCAGCAGAGCTTCCCAACCAGACTGGTTTTGCACACAGTCAAGACGTGCAAATGATCACGGGAATGGCCTAAGACTGGGCATTGTTTCATTTCATTGTTGGTGGCGGCTAACAAATTAGTCATATATTTTTTCACTATTCTATTCTATGAACTAAAAAGAAAAGTTTTGAAAGCAAATTTGGGATAGTAAACAGATCAGATACAAGGTCCTTTTCTATGTCCAGGTTTCTTCATATCTTGGGAACAAGGGCTGAGCCTAAAAATGCTGATAGTACTGGAAAGTATTCTATCACCAACACTATTTAGAATTGTTAGGGATAGGGTAATAAAAAGCACATGATATTTGCTGTTGTTGTTATGTACCATCAAGTCGGACCCAACTCATAGCGACCCCTCCTTGGGTTTCTGAGCCAGTATCACTATGGAAGTAGATTGCCCCATCTTAGACTAGTTTAAACCAGTCTATTTCATTATAGTTATAAAATTCTCTAAAGACAACCAGGAGCACTGGTGGTACAGTGGTTAAGCACTCTGCTGCTCGCCAAAAAAGGAGGTGGTTCAAACCTACCACCAGCTCAGCAGAGGAATAAAAGAACTGGTGATCTGCTTCTGCAAAGATTACAGACTAGGAAACCCTATGGGGCAGAACTGACTTGACAGCACACAGTAACGATAATAACAGAAAACACAGATTCTCCTAGCACCAGCACTACAAAAGTACCCTGCTGTACCTCCACAGGCTCCTACCACACCTTTGGAAGGACACTGCTTTGGAGTTGAGTTGACCAGCAAGTGCAGTTTGGGAATTCACATACAACTTAATTTCTGACTGACAGCAGAACAGAACTATGAAGAGCTTCTGAAAGCCTAGCTCTCCCGCCATGTCATGTGAACATTATTTAATTCAACGTTAAGCATTTGTAAGAGGAAAACCTCTACATTTACATACTTAGCCTCTCTCCCTTCCCTCAATTTTAAGAAACACCATAAAGTCTCTAACCAAGAAAATGGCAGGTTAAAACAACAGTACTCAGTATCAGAAATCAAACATCTGAATAAATAATATTTATTTATCCTGAATAAATAAATACAGTGAGAGAACATGAAATGCATTTAATAAATAAGATCTGTACACGAAAAACTAAAAAAACCAAACTCACTGCCATTAAGTCAATTCCAATTCATAACGACCTCCTTTGGGTTTCTGAAGTGGTAAATCTTTAGGAAGTAGATTGCCTAGTCTTCCTTCAGCAGAGTGGCTGGTGGGTTTGAACCACTGACTTTCTGGTTAGCAGCCAAATGCCTTAAGCACGATACCACCAGAGCTTCTTGTACATGAAAAAGGTACAGTGAAAAGGCCATAAACCTACTCACTCACTCACTGCTGTTGAGTCCGATCAGACTCATAGAGAGTCCTCCTTGGGTTTCCAAGGCAGTATCACTATGGAAGTAGATTGCCCACTCCTCCTTCCGAGGAGCGACTAGTGGGTTTGAACCGGCAGCCTCTGGTTAGCAGTCAAATGCCTTAGACACTATGCCATCATAGCTCCCATATATCTACTAGTTGTTTTTTGTCAGTTGCTGCCAAGTTGATTCCAACTCATGGAGTTTCCATGTGTGCAGAGTAGAACTGCTCTATCAAATTTCCAAGGCTGTGACCTTTCAGAAACAGATCACCAGGCCTATCTACCAAAACAACTCTATGGGTTTGAACACCAACTTTTAGGCTAGTAGTCCAGTAGTACTTAATCATTTGTTCCATACAGGGACTCTTTACATGTACTAAAAAATATCTCTAATTCATAGGACTGTTATACATAACTCATTTGAGCCTCGATTTTCTAAACTGCAAATTGAAGTAAGAATTCCTAATTTTATGAATAAAATTACATTAATGCCTGAATAGGAGTCAGCATTGAGTATAAACACTCCATATCTGTCTTTATATAACATGATGGTTTTGAATAGAAAACAATTCTGTTGTCTCACTTTAGAAAGTATATTATACAAACACTAAAGCATTATCTTAAAATAACTGCAAGGTGAAGTTAAAAAGTCAACTGTTATGCCATTGAAAATTAGCTTTAAAACAACAAATAAAAGCACAAAGACAGATGCAGCAATAAATGAAAAAATTAGGAAAACCATTGCAAATGTAACAGAGAAGGTGAAAGTTGCATACATTTGGTGTATAATTTTGCAAGCTCCTCTTTTACTGGAATATATATGTATTTTTTTTTCCAGTAAAAGAAGAGCTTGCAGAATTGATTTTAAATGTTATGCTAACTGAAGTGTAAAATGTTACTTTAGCTTCTCATTGTTATATATACAAATACAACTATATGTAAATGTTAATTTTTTCTTGAATTTTTATATTCTTGGCATTTAGTTATTGAGGGCCTCTGGTGGCATAGTGCCTAAGGCTGGTAACCAGAAGACTGACGGTTCAAACTCACCAGCTGCTCCGTGGAAGGAAGACTGGGCAATCTATTTCCATAAAGATTACTGCCTCAGAAACCCAAAGGGGGTCGGCTATGAGTTGGAATTGTACGAGTTGGAATCGACTTGATAGCAGTGAGTTTGTTTGCTTTTTATGTATAAAATGGTACAATTCATATTCCCACCATTAGCATTATTTATAAGAGTCAAGAAAGGGAAATAATCCAAAGTCAAACAGACAAGGAACAAAGGAAATCTTAATATAGTCACATGGTAAAACATTACACAGCCATTCAAACTTATATATATGGCATCACTATATTCTATGTACAACCTAAAGGGATACTAATATATCACAAAAGAAACAAGTGTTTATTAAATTACACTAAATATAAGGCATACCCTAATTTTCAGAGAAGTTAAAATGTGAAAGATGTGCATCTTGGGGGGTAGTCAATTGCGGTGTAGTAAATTACTTTGTGTGGCTTTTCTACCCATAAGTCTTTGTAAACTCCAAGGTGGGATTTTCTATGAGCAACTGAGGAGCTCCTGATTGCTGAAGTTGTCCACCTGGAGTATTTCTGTTGGGAGTGGCACAAAACAATGTTCTGGTAGGTGCCCACTC